GGCATGCCAGCGGCTTCTTAGTGTAGGATCTGGCTTGCGGCTTGTCCTCTCCTAGTTACAAAAATCTGCGCCTACAATGCTTCCCAAAATATAAAATGTGTTCTGCTGTCTTCTTCTCTACCTGGAAGTATCTTCAAAGCGATTCTTCTGTCTGTACTCCGAAGCGGTGCATGTGCCTTCTTAAGCGGCCAGGAGTTGAACCTCCAAGCGTTCCAGTAATTCCCTTGTACGTTTTGCGGATGGCCTTTCTACGAATCTCTTCGCGTGCCTCATGCCTGGGGGTTTATTCCACCAAACTTTGGATTCAATAAGGATCTATTTTAAGATTTATCCTCTTTTGTGACAATATGATAGGCTTCAATAGGGTTCGGAAGGGAATACATGGCTGTAAAAAGGAAAACGCCTCTCCCACTATTGGGGTTGTATGGAACACGTGTGCCTCCACCAAGGACCGGCCAAAAGGCACATAAGAAAATTATTATAAAGTTTTGCTGCTTAAGGGCCACTTTGAGGATCCCGTGAGTCTTTCTTGTAGTGTAGTCTTGTTCCTTTAATATTATCAGTTTTTCTTCCCAAGATATTTGTATTTTTATTTGTCCAGAAAGGAATAATATATTTTGTTTATTTAATTGTTATTTTTATTTATCGAAAGAGAATTATTTGTTTATTTTGAATTATATTATTTTCGTTTTAATTATTATTTCTTCATATAAAGTTGGAGGCATCGGCGAGATATCTAATAAAAAAGAATTGTGAGGAAGCCTAAAGAATGGAGAAGAGTAAAGAAGGTTTACATCCTGATGCTAGTAACCTGTTGTCTACATTAGAAGAAAAAACACCTAGGACCCAAAGAGAAAGGATCAACGAATTATAGGAACCTACGCTGGTTAAGCGAGAAAATTATGGGCAATTTAGTGAAAAGAATTGTCACTATCGCATACCAAAAGATCAATTTTCAATCGAGACAGATCAAGATCTTGATCAAGACGTTTGAGAAGTAGTTTGAAAATACTGTAACGAAAAAAGCCATTAGGAAATGAAAAATCAAATCGTCTCATTTGAGTGAAACTCATCCGGAGAGAAAATGGTAAGTGAATTTTCAGAGTCTAAATGTTTGACCTCCTCGAAAACCGTCAAAGGCTCGAAATGCCAGCTTGTAAGCACAGATGCTGGCGAAGTCAGGCAAAGTGCCTACTTATTACCCAGAATCAAAGTCAAGTTAGGAGTCAGAGAGCCAGATGGAGGCTGTATCAGAGGTCGTACCGTTTCAACGGAGAAACTTAGTGGATCAATCCATAGAAAGCTGGACAAATTACCAAAATGGGTACTTCGAGACGGCGAATCTTCTTTAGAATTTTTAAAAAATCTCTACCCTATCGTAATAAATGTATTTTATGCGGAGCGGCATCCAACATTATTTTCAATCCTTTGTATGTAGGGGCTTGGTCGAAATGAGAACGTTAGTGTCACAAGCGGGATTCGAACCAACGACTTTCGGCTAAGCGTGGGTAGCTAAAGAATAATTAATTCAAAGAAGTCAATAAGACCACTAAACACAAGCGGATTAATATTTTTAATATGGCACAGAATAAAAAAGATAAATAATGAAAAAAAACCCTTAAAATTTTACTTAATGAGTTTGTAAATCTGACATAATTATTCTCCTTAAAAGTTAAATACCTAATGCGAGCACACACATAACGTGAGAATTTAAGGGACTTCACGGACTCTTTAGCGCTGGTAGCAAACTTTTTTATGAGACGTAAGTAAAGAGGATTTGGCTTAAACAATAAAAAAAAATTTCATCCAAGGTGCTTGTTCCTCATGCGTTCTAAAATTGAAAATATACAGGAATTGTATATGGATATCGGCAGAATAAACACAACTTTCGGGAGAAAACAAGGGAGTCGACTAAATAATATAAAAAGAAGAAAACCTGTAATGAAAAAACAAAACAAAAGAAAATATGTTTCCTATTGAACGGTTGATTAAGGTTCCTCGTCTTCAGAAGAACGAATATCACCGAAAAAGTTAATGGGTCTAAGTATAAAATATTTAAAGAATCGTGATAAGATTTTAGCCGAGGAGTTTAGCCGCAATCTGCTTGGTTACAAACACCTCAGTATTGTCATTCTAGCAAATAACCCGAGCATAGATAAAACCTAGGTCAACGGAAATCCGATGGAACAACGATCTCCGTTCAAAAATATACCCAATAATTCCTTTTCTCCGTATTATCCACCTCTGTTTCCCATGTGGTACACCCGGACTCCATACATACGTCGTCCATATAAAAACTTCCATGAGGAAAGAAGGTCAGATTACAAGTCAGGGCGCTGACACACGGAGCGGTTTTGACCGAAGCGTTTACCGCTTCGGTTTTGCTAGGTTGTGACACACGCAGCGGTATGATGTGCGTTTTGGCCGAAGCGGTTTTGTTTTCTCTCAGTTATTAAATGTATCCTATAGCAGTGCATATAAGCATTGAACGTCGCAAGGTTTTGCAGTTTGTTTAACAAGTCCTGTTTAATAAATATATTGTTCTGTAACTNCAAAACCGACGCGTTGGGTCGTCTCCGCCACCGACCGACTCGGTTTGAAAACCGACAGGCGGTTACGACCGCTACGTCTGTCAGGTTAATGCAACAACAATGAACGACTCACCGCCTCGATTTTTCTCGCGATAAACGCTTCGGTCAAAACCGCTCCGTGTGTCATCGCCCTCAGGTGGATGGCAAAACCGGAGTCGAAACGGCCGAAGAAATTTTTCTTAGGTAAAAGGAAATGCCAATTGTTAAAAAAGGCGACAAAACGGATACTTTAACCAGTGTAAATATAGGACATTTCAAGGAGAAAACGAATGTTATGCGGCCATCTAACATAGTTAACGCGATGTATCAAAATGCACCATTCTATATTCCGTCAAGTTATTCAGAAGCCATGAAACAACAACCTCAGTCTTGGCCCACATCTTGTTGTTACAAAAAGTTTCTGATTTTGAAACGAGTACAATCCTAAATTAACTTGCTTATGCTAATCGTTTTCGAAATAAACGTGGAGGGCCATTTTGCTGTTACAAAAAGTATGCCCCCTCACGCGTTTTCCCTCAGAATAACTCAGAAATGGTCGATCCCATGAAAACCTTTCTCTCAGTAAAGTTGATATAAAATTAGATCTAAAATCGAATTGGGCAATAAAACTATAGGATTCTCATTTAAAATAACAACTTTAGTGCCATTTCCCAGCTAGATGAGAAAGTTATGCAAAATCTGTTACAACCACGCGATTCCAAATTAACTTGGGGTTGGTATAAGACAATTTTTTGCTAATGTTAATCGTTTCAGAATTAAATGGGTGGACTATCAAAGCTGATACACCTTGTATAATAAAATTAAAATTAATTAATCAATTATAACCTGTACGTCTTTGTGTCTTTAATGATTCATATAATTTACAACATCCTTCAAATATGACAATTTTGTATTATAACATCAGGTATTAGGCCAATTTGAAGGAAATAAAAACAGTCAGCTTTATTGTCCAAGCTTTGAGGAATATATCCCCTTCATCAGGACTTTGTTAACTATTATTAAAATTGTTGTTAATTTTTCTTTAAGGAGTTGGCTAAGGAAGAAGAAAAAATAATTTTTTTAAATATAAAACACTGTAATTTACGATGTTTTGGATTTCGTGGAGCTATCTTCATGGAATTATATTACTGTGGGCAGTCTTTTTGAGTGTGGGATGAAGAGAAAAATTATAAAAATTGTTATTTTTGCCGCAATTATGTTTTCCCCCTCAATTCGTCTCTCTCTCTCTCTCTCTCTCTCTCTCTCTCTCTCTCTCTCTCTTAATATCACACTGCCAAATGACATAAGTTGTTTTGTTGTACGTATTCAACAATGTTAGTATTTTTTTTAGTAAGGTTATTAGGTGTAAACAACTAAATGTCAAAAAATTAAAGTCACATGAATTTAGTTATGACCTTTTAATAATTATAATAAAACTTTATGATTTGCTTTCTTAACTGGATAAAGTGGCAAAATTAATTGTACCTTTTATCAATTTAGGGTTCATTAAGATTGTTTATGATTATTAAATGTGTATTACAATTAAAAACAAAGAATTTTGTTATGATTTATAACTGGTTTTAGGCAAAGAAACATATTTTATTCGATGGTATATCCGCGATAATAGGACTAACAAATCAAACGGGGGTGAAATTTATTTGGTTGGATGGCTTCCAAGACCACAATGAGTTGTTCATCGGCCGAAAAGATGATAAGCTTAGGGAAAAAATAATAGTGAAATGAACTGTAAAATGGCAGAACAAAACATACACTTTTCGTAAGTTTTTTTTAAATTATAAACTTTTCGATCGTATGAATGAACTTTGTCCCAATCAAGAGAGGATAATCCTTTTGCAAAGATCTTTTCACCATTTCAATTTGAGAAAATGACTCGAGATACGGGAAAATTTAAAAGTTATATACTGTGATGTATGACCCTACAAAGTAAATCTTTCCTTGGGAGGAGATAACCCTCGAAGTTGTTTTTTTTTAGATTGGAGCTGGGTTGAGGATTAGCTCTGGCTTTCAAGCTCCATTTCCTTCCAGAGTACTTAACCGGGATTGGTGGTTTTACGATAGGCCTTTAATCGTCGGAAAACCGTTGGCTAATGTGTTTTATAAGAATTTTTCAAATCGGTGGAAGCTATTTCACACACGCTGGCCGTGAATTCGCAATTGATCAAATGAAATATAAACGATTCACTATTCCATGGATGAATGGACGATAAAAGGGACCTTTTTTCCTTAGGCAGAGCTTCGTCCCACATTGAAATGGCGTCCGATTTATCTCTCCAAAGGGCCTAGTCATGAATTCAATATAATAATACGGCCTATTAATCATCGGCTTGACCCATAAATCTGACATCCCGGTAATTCGGCAATCATAACAACCACGGTGATTGGGCTTACATTGTTATTTATAGTATAAGCTAAAAGTTTGTTGAAATTATTTACCTTAGTCTGTATGGTCAATGTCGAAGGGTTCAGAGAGTTTGCGTGAAGTCCATTTGGCCATTTACTGCCTAAAACACACAAAAATGCAATTTCAAATTAAAATTGTTAAAAACTTACGTAAAAATAAACGTGGCATTTTATCATAAATCAGAAACCATTTTTATAATAACCGGCAAAGAAACCATAAATCTTATAAATCGTCTCTTAAAAATAACCAGATGTACAAAGTACCTTTAGAAAGTCGTTTCAATGCGCAGATTTATTTCAAATTTAATGCTATAACACCATTATTAATGGTAATGCTTATTGTTGAGGCGTTGGTCGGTCACGAGCAGTAAACTTAGCAGTGGCCGCGTCGGACTCTGCCCTGCTCCTTCTCGAAGAACGAGTATAGAGATAGGGATGAAAGAGGTGGCCATAAGGCCTTCTCGATCTATTGCGCTGCTCTAATTTTATAAATTATTGAATATCTTAAGGTTGTTAATCAACTTCCATTGCCTTGCCAGCGGCTCCTTAGTGCAGTATCTTGCTTTCAGCTTTTACTTTTTTGGTTGATCATAGACCAAAAATATAAAATGTGTTCTGCTGTCTCCTTTTCTTCTTGGCAGTAATTTCTTCTGTCCGGGAATCCAATCCGATGCATGTACCTTATTAGGCGGCACTGCCGTGTCCAGGAGTTCCTTTGAAATATTGCCGATGGCCCTTCTATAAATCTCTTCCCGTTCCTCATGCCTGGGTTATTGTACTGCAAGATTTTAGACTGGATTTTTAAACGTAACTTTTTTGTGGCATGGTGCTAGGCCATAATATGGCGCGGGCACGACCTCCGCGACTTTGGCCTTAAACTTTGGCCGGAAAAGACCAAATTTAACTGAACCTTGCCTACCTGGATGATTGTGTCCGAACTTGGCGTGATGCGAAATATGAGAATTGAGAGCTATTGAAGCAGCAATTTATTTTGTTCATGAACTAGCCTTCAAAGCAACGTTCACGAGAAAGAATGAAAAGTGAGAAAGAGAGAGGATAAAACAAAATGCGGTTGGGATAATATAAAACTTTGGGCAGAGGGGGCTTGAATTTCAGCAGGGAAATCGTTTGGGAGCTATCTGGGAAATAGAGAAAATTCAGAAGGGTGCAAGCTACAATTGAATGAGAACGAGAAAAACTGACGAAATAGGGCAAGGAAGATGGGCAAAACGATTTAGAACTGTAAACGAAATCCGCGCAATTTGGCGCGAACTATTACCCATTTTATAATTGTTAAGATTCTATTGAAAATTTTCTGCATTCTAATTATTTTAAGTGCAAAATAATGCACAAATATGTTTGAGCTTTGGTGTGCCCTAGGAATGACTATCAACTATCAATATTTCCTAACTATTGAACAATATGGTTAGGTTATTTCTGAAATGTCTCTAATTTTCTTCTTCCATACTATCAATAAAATTTAATTCAAAACACATTCCATTAAATAATCTTTAGTTTATTATATTCGAGATAATATTGAAAATCCTGTTCACAACCGTGAAATTTATCACTAATATTACGACAATTCAACGTTTATGAGCTTCGGTGTTTTCTGAAAATGATCTCAAATTATCAATATTTTTTTTCTGCTGAACATAGGTTTGTTAAATCGTCCAAACCATCAGCAAACTGGCAGGCGCATTGCTAAAATAATTAAATATTATTATATATATATGTGCAAGAGTTCACGCTAAAAAAATTTACATTTTGTTTTCTTAAGTTCTTTAATTCTTAGAAAACCAGAGGAACACTAATAATTTGACACTCTATACAATAATGGTAGAAAAAGTCCTTATTTGTCATATATAGAGGAAAATGTTAAAAGCGATTTTCATATAATTAAAAAGACAATTAACTATTGAAAAATTCATAACATTTTTAATTTTGTCAGGGATTGTTGCTGGTATTCGTGGAAAAATACTGTTCATTTTCTACTAATGAATTTCTACAGTGGCCAACTTTATACAAATTTTTCTCTATTTATGTTTTATTAAAATTTAAAAAATGAGTGGTGATTAGTGTTAGTCGATGATTATTCGTAAATCGTGAGATGCGGTCTGGTGTGATGTTGGTTTCAGAAAAACATTTTCTTTATCGTGCCAACGTTTCGATCTTTATTGAGATCATATTCAGTGCCTGAGATTTACAAACATTGTTTAAATAATGCAAATGCGCACGCAGAAAACGAACACTTTGACTGATACTTTGATTGAATATAAAAATATTTCTTGCATTGTATAAATTCACTTTTTTCCACATCCTACATGTATTTGTTAAATTTAAACAATGTTTGTAAATCCAGGCCCTGAAGATGATCTCAATAAAGATCGAAACGTTGGCTCGATAAAGAAAATGTTTTTCTGAAACCTACATCACACCAGACCGCATCTCATGATTTCCGAATAGTCATTTTTAAAAAATGAATTATTTTTCTATATTTTTAATTTATTATTTAAGAGATGTGGCTCATGCATGCTAATATCTAACATGCTTGAATTCTCATTCATACTCGGATGCACTTTTATTCTGAATTAAACATAATTCCAGTGTAAAATGTTTTCAACGACATTTTAATTAACAAAACTGTTATGATTTTATTATTTGCTTATATTCTTCTCATTTGTAATATTTTATGGGATACGATTTACATAGTTGGTCTGGTGTTGGATGGTCATCATGTTTTTGTCTAGTGTAATAACATGATCGTTTCCTAGATACGATTGACATGTTTGTATAAAAAATCATAAGATTTAAATTTTTAAAGAAAAATGGGTCTATATTTTTTCTCACTATTTCTTCATGTTTTAGTTCTTTGCCTTTCTGTCCTATCTTGATTCACTTCAAATCAGCACTGTTACAACAATAAATAGATCATATTAAACAAAAATACATTGAAGTAGTTATTCACGTCCAACGTAACGTGGCCACTCGTCAGTTTTATGAGAGAGGGAACAAATCCCGTAACCGGAGATAATAAAACTTCCTTCCAAGTAAAGGGCCGGCAGTATCGACTTTCTTCATTTCGGAGGAAGAAAAGTAGCCGACCCGAGTGAGAGAAATCTCACACGTTTCGCCCTTTTCCGGGTCGGAGAAAAAAATCGCCCGTCGCGGAACTTGTAATTTTGAGAATTTCTTTTCAAAAGGCCCATCGAGGACTCGCCCTTTCCCCAATACGGACGTCCATCGATAAACTTTTACGATGGGGGAGGGTCTCCCTTTTCCACCCTCACCCTTTTCAATGTTTAGGATATCTTCAACGTTTGTATAAAGAATGAAATACAGAGTATTAAATCGATGGTAAAATTCGAAAGACCTCAGGGTCGGAAAAAAATGACCTGAGTGGATCCTTGTTGGTGATAATGGGTTTGTCACAGAGGCGACTTTAATTATCTGAAAGGTTTTCTGTTTCATAATTCTGAGGATAGGGAAATAACTCTTTTCAAACAGTGTTGTTTTTCAAGAGATCCAGGTTAACAATCTCATTTAGAAAGAAATATGAAACGTCCCACCTCCAACTTTATAAAGTTGTGATGTAATCTTTTACATTGATAAAAGTTCAATTGAAAAAAACACGGCATGGTGGTTCTGGATAACAAATACCATAATAATAAGCAACCCACAGAATAATTGAGTATGAAATTAATGTTTATCGTTAATACAAAATAGTTAAATATTGTCTCTCACGTGGCACTAATGAGATCCTTGTCCCGTGGAAACAACAGCCGGGATTTCATCCCTTATTCACCACCTAACCCTGGCCCCTCTACGCTTCCTGACCCTGGGGTGATAAGGTCGAAGGATAAAAGTGCGAATTTCCGCTCAGCTTCCTTCAGGTATTACATATTACATATATGAATAGATGAAGTGCAAGCATTGACATCCTGTTTTTTTTGCAAAAATCCTGACCATGTAAGCAGAATTTACTTATTCTTTTCTAGTATTAGTTCACCGATAAGAAATATGTGTGGTGATTAGTGACCTTTAGTCGAAAATTATTGGGAAATCGTGAGATGTGGTCTGGTAGTTCTGTCTGATGTAGGTCTGTGGTCTGATGTAGGTTTCAGAAAAACATTTTCTTTATCGTGCCAACGTTTCGATCTTTATTGAGATCATCTTCAGGGCTCAAAGTGTTTGTTTTCTGCGTAATTGTGCCATTCTAGTGTGTCGTGTTGAGAGTTTAATTACGCAGAAAACAAACACTTTGGGCCCTGAAGATGATCTCACTAAAGATCGAAACGTTGGCACGATAAAGAAAATGTTTTTCTGAAACCTACATCACACCAGACCGCATCTCACGATTTCCCAATGATACGAAATATTTTGACAATTCGTTAATAAAGTTAGGTTGTTATGTAATTCACTGGTCATGTTTGACTGGTGCTATATGATTTTTATTTCGTTTTAATTGATTCCATAAAAATCGTGTTTCCATTTGTTTTAAATTATAAATCAAAGTTTCCTAATCTGAAAAAAGAGAATATATTCTTCGAAAGTAGATTTTTTAAAAATTGGGCTCATCTTTTTTTCTTTTTTTTTAATATACGGGTGACTGGCGACAAGTGTCGAAAATTTCAGGTGGTCCTACTCACTATATGGAACTAAAAACTTCTTATAAACCCCTGTACAAATTTAAACGGTAAAGAAGTAATTTCAAGTTTTGGGTGTTTTTAATTTTTCGACTTAGGTCCTCTAAATTGCTTATAAAATTCAGAATTGCTGACTGTAGAAGAATCTGGTTTGTGCCACCTGAAAAAAGTTAAATTTGCTGTAAGGAAACCTATTTGCATTTCAGAATTGATGAAAAAATTATTCACGAAAAATTCAGAAAAAACAAAAATGTTGAAATTTGGAATTTTTTGAAATATTGGAGTGGTAACTGTTAATAACTATAAACTCAAGTTATGGGCCTTCCACAAGCGCAATTGCAAAAGGTGGGTACACCCCTGGAAGCTAATTGGAGAACGTTTAAGGGAATTTTTAAGGCTCCAGAAGTTTGAAGTTATGAACAGTTACCAATCCAACATTAAAAAAAAAAAAAATC